AGACTCCGGAGCCGCAGTGTCGGCGCGGGGCGGGCGGCCTGGGAAAGTCAGCGTCAGCAGCAGCGCAGTGGCGGGAACCGCAGCCCGGCGGCCCTGGAACCTCCCAGGTCAGAGGAGCCGCGGGGCTGGGACCCGGGAGGGAGGGGACCGGGGTGCGAGCGGTTTCTCTGCTCATCATCTGGAAACCGGCTCCCAAATTCTGATGTGGATGTCTTCCCTTGGTTTGTTTTAGATCTTACGAAATAAGCTTGCTTTTTTTTTTTTCAGTTGATCTTCTGATTACCAAAATACTCGTGTAAAAATAATCTAATAGAATATTTGAAATTATCTGAAGATTTGCAAGTACGATTCTCTTTGTGCTGGTGAAACGACAAACTCGAAATTTACAGTCATCCATACTAATTTCCTTGTTATACACTTCCACATGCAAGAGAGTGGCACATGGAAACGGAGACTTGGATTCGCAGGAGCATTTAGATTATATTGTAGCCAAGGAACACCTGAAAATTTGTTTGAATCTGAAAGTTTGTGAGTAGCACATCTGACAAAATAAATGAAATCCTCACAGGAAAAAAACTCATGAGATGTTCTCCCTCCTTCCAGTATGTCCCTTGGGAGGTGTAAGGATCCATCATTATTGGTCCCTGTTAAATTCAGAACGTGACTAGTGTATAATCTTCTGTTCCTAATCATTCACTCTCATTTCTGTCCCTGAGTTTTGACTGAGCTATGATTGGAAGTAGGAATCGAGAGATGCTAACTAACATTGCTTCCTAAGTATTACAACTATTGTGACATTGCACGACAGTTAGGGAATCATTTGTATAACCCGGTAATTCGTTTTCTCTTCATCTACTGAGCACAGTACCGTGTGAGAAATCCAGGGGCTTCCTGAACAATCTCTTTCTCATGTGCAGGGCTCACTGATCACCCAGACCTGCTCAACTGTGCAGCAGAACAAAGGGGCTTGGAAGGAGAGAGGAGACAGAAGCTAAGGATGCAGGTATCGGGGAGGGGTTGGTGAAGGGACGGGAAAGGGTCAGGTGATGTGGAAGTAGGACATGAGGTCAGTTTGGCCACATTGTTTCACTAGCAATAGTTCTGGAGTCTTCTCTTGAGAATAATCTCCTTAGAAGACTTTCTTCATAAGAATTAATAACGGAGTCAAATAAAATTTTATTTGACTGTGCATTTGATGCTGTCTTTATTCATTCACACCATTGACCATGTTTTCATACCATTACTGAATAATGTTTTTTGGAATCATTTTAATATATTATGAAATGATTGAAAATTAATACCTTTAGTGTTTTTTATTGTTTTCAAAATTTTGGACATTTGGTCTTCTAACACATTCTCTACCTTTAATTTTTTGTCTCCATTCCTGGAAATAATTCCAACAGAGTTTTGATAAGAATCAGAAAGTATATTTACAACCACCTACACTCCATCTATACTGTCACCTGTTGTCTGTTGGAAATTAGGATGACTATGTTCAGCTTCTAAAATTTTCACTCAGGGTTAAAAAAAAGAACTAAAATCTGAGGGGAAAAAGGAAGTGATCACACACAATTGCTCCTCTTCATGTTCTGTGTTCTTCTTCTTTTACTGTCTCCCTCTCTTGGTATTCTGTTTCTCTATTTCTGTCTATCTCTCCATTTCTCTGTCTCTCAATTCTTTGTCTACCCCAGTTCTTGGAGGTATAGGTGTACATATGTTTGAAACAGTGATTCTTTTTTTGCAGTACAGTGTGAGTCTTGAGTTTCTCAGGGAAGGCAAGGCAGATAAGATTTACACACAGTGCAATGAACTAAAACTTCTAGGAGAAGCTTTTAGCATCAGTTGCCTAGGGCTGTGGGCTGAGGAGATGGTCTAAGTGTAATTTCCACAAGAATCAAGACCTGGAGCCTTCCAGTGCTCTGGCCTCAGTAACAGCACAGGCCTTCAGGAAGGGTTACTTTTTCCTGATGATGAGCAAATGGGCTGACTACCTTTGTCTTTATCTTCTCAGGAGAAACAGGAGGGAGCTGTAACTCTCTGAACTAAAATCTTTCGTTAAAAAAAGAAGTTTGAGAATCATTCAGTGCAGAGTTAATGTAGGTTATTGCTTCTCTCTGCTAGTGAGGTAAAGCCCAGGGCATGCTTATTTTTTCTATTCATTTAGGCAGCTATGAGTCAACAACTTTGGACGCATAGTAATTATATGTCCTTGGATATCTGGGAATGTCTTAGATGGGATGGTTTTGCCTGGGCCCTAAACACGAACCAAATGCCTGTCAATAAAGGTAGCTGCCAGAAGGCAGATCTCTGCTATTACATCAGAGAGGGGAACCAGGACCTGGTCATGGGAAACAGGCCTCACACATAGCTGAGGAATATAATCAGTAAACTAGGACCTGCTAATGGAGAATAGGTATATACACATAGCTAGGGAGTGTAATCAGCAAAACTCCAAATTCATGGAGAAATTTGTTCCCAGTAAAAGATCAGATGGTGCTGAACTGTGGAAAGTAAATCCCAAGTTTTAAAAGAAAGGAATAAGCTACAGGAAGAATCTATAGCAGGACACAGCCAATTCATTCATGAGATTATAGCACCAGGTATAGCTTTGTGCTGGAATCATCCACCAGAAGAATCCTTAATCCTTAGTTGTCTCGTGACTCGAAGGCTGTATAATTACTGTGTGATCTTGCAGTTTGTAGCAGTACAGTAGTGCTTGTAGGTTTTCCTCGAAGAGCCATGCCTTTCCTAGCCCTGGGGAAATGGGTAGGTTTCCAGTACCAGACACATGTTTTCTCTCGTTGAGAGTGTCGCAGTCCAATTAGTAAATGTTGGTTACACTGAGGTACGTGTGCCATCCTTGCACACTTAGGGCTGCCATGCAATGCATTGTTTTGGTCCATAGGTGTCATAGCTGAGGAGGACTGTTGCTTGGCTCTGTCCTTTGGATGGTTGCATGTTGCCTTCAGGTACCATGAAAGGTCATTGCCAGGCAGGAAGCCTTAAAATTAGCTTCATCTCGAATCCTCCATATTTGTGTGGGAATTGTGTTACTTCTTCAACACTAGGGACTCAACTTCTTCCTCTGGGAGGCAACCATGGGCAACAGCAATACCCTGTAATGTTTGGAAGTCTTCTGGACACCTGTGTCCAATAAGTTCAACGCAGGCTTCTTACACCTGTTGGTAATTTTGGTGGAAATTCTGTGGCTCTTCCGAGGAGCATCATCATTGTGTTTGGCAAATTATCGTTTATTCTCTAAGAGACTTATATGTATCAAAGGCATTTTTTAGTTGGTGTATGGTGATATGGTGATAATCTTGCTTGTACAAATAAAGCCTGTCTGAATGTCAGAGAATGGAGCTTTCCTGGAGGTCTGTAGGTCTGTAGAGACAGACAGGAAGTGAGGTGGCTGGGTGGAAACAGGATATAAGCAGGGAGAAACAGGAGCTCCCTCTCTTGTCTCCTGAGATGCTAAGAGGTAAGGTGTGGCAATGGCTTGCTCCTTCTCTCTGATCTCTCAGCATTTTCCTCAAAAAAGGGGAGCAGTGTGTGGCTCTGGAGAAGTAGCTCAGATGTTAAAAGCACTGGCTTGTCTTCCAGAGGCCCTGAGTTTAATTCCCAGTAACTGCATTGGTTTTTAGGTTTACAACCATCTATAATGAGATCTGGTGCCCGCTCTGAGTAGAATTGATTTTTTTTTTTTTTTGAGACACGGTTTCTCTGTATAGTCCTAGCTGTTCTACACCTCGCTCTGTATACCAGGCTGACCTGCGACTCAGAGATCCACCTTCCTCTACCTCCCTATTGCTAGGATTAAAAGTGTGCACCACCACCACGTAGCTCCATTCTCTGTCCCTCAGACAGGCTTCATCTGTACAAGCAAGATGTCACCACATTGATGGTTAATAGACAAGGAATAGGTGGATTCCCTATGAATTTTCCAGATGCCCTTACTATTATTTTACCCTCATTCTTCTGTGTTTATATCCATCTGTCCTCCATAATTAAATCCTCACCCCTGTCTCTCCATTTCCCCCTTCAGATAGCTTGTTCCCTGTTGATCCCATCTCTGTCAATCCCTCACACCCCACAGCGCTGTCTTGTTACTTTTCTGGTGACTGCAGTCTCTCCAGGTTGTGTACTCACATCTGAAGATTTGGAGCTCGAACTTCCTATGAGAGAGAACACGCATTGTCTGTATTTCTGTATCTGGGTTACCTCACTCAATATGATCTTTTCCAAGTCAATCTGTTTACCTGCAAAGCTCATGATTTCAATTTTCTTTACAGCTGAATAGTATTCCATAGTGTATATGTACCACACTTTCACTGCCCATTCATCCAGTTCAGGGACATTTAGGTTATTTCCATTTTGTAGCTGTTGTGAACAGAGAACTAGTCAACATGGGTGACCAAGTATCTGTGGAATAGGATGTCGAGTCCTTTAGGGTTTGCTTATTTAATCGAGGATTCTTTATTTTGATTTTCAGTGTGGCTATTTGTTCTGTTCATAGCCCTTTTATTTCCCATGGTTTTGTTATACTGTTGTTGCTGTTGGCTTTTTAGTAGCAGTCATCTTCTTTCTTTTTGAGAAGTAGTAGTTTTCTGTCTTCATGGATGATTACTTTCCAGTCTCCTGTATTTATCTACTCTTCCAATGAAAATTATTTCCCAGTTTCACATAGAATATTCCCCTGACTCTCCTGTGTATGTTTTGCCTCTAATTTATTATGTGCAGTGCTGCTTTATTGAAATCAGTTGTGTTGTTGGTGACTAGCTGGTCTCCATCAATTTTAAGAGAGTCGTGTTCGTTGTGCTACAAGATGCTTGATGATGATTTTTCTCTTCAAGCTTCAAATGTCTTTCCGTGCTCTCCTGTCTTTGGGGTCATTGACCAGACACCTGGTCATATTCTTTTTCTTGGGTCTTTTCATGTGGTTTGACATTGTTCTCTAACAGGTTTCCGTATTACTTGTACATTCTGACCCTTTATTTTATAGGGAAGTGAGCCATGTGTTCAGTGTCCTTGAAAGAGAATCTCAAAGAAGGGAAACAGGAAGAAATGGCTATTCCTCCGGTAAATATGTCACAGGTCAGTGGTCATTTCCATTGTCTATCTAAATATGTTATACTTTCACAGATTAAGAGCTTTTAATCTTCTGCTTCTGATAATTTGTAAAATTTTTATTGTGATCAGTCCTGTGAACAGTCAACAATAAAATCACACACTGCAATAAGCAGACCCAAAGACCATAAAACTCAATGTAGTCTATACAGGTAGAGTCGTCACAGGGCACATAAACTCTGGAGCCTCACATGGAATTTCATATTTCACAATCAAATATATTTTGGTTTGCTTATCCACCCCCAAACTCCAAAAACATTTAATAGAATTAGAACTCTGAAAGCTCTTTGCTTAATACCCTTTTCCATAACTGGTTTTCATTATCTGCATTTAGTCCCTGATAATTTAACCTTCCTGTTCTTGTTTCTCCAAGTTATACTGTGTCTACATATACATTGTTTCTGTATACATGTGTGATTGGGTAGATAATGCATATGAGCAAAAACATGGTGTCTTCTTTCTAAAAGTGTGTGACTGCAATTAATATTACACATTTTAGGTCTATCCGTTTTCCTGCAGATTTTTTATCTTTTTTTCCTCTTTAGCTGAATTGTACCCAGTTTTATACAGTTTTCATAATACATAATATCTGTTGATAAAGCTTTGATAATAGCACTTTCCCTTTTATGATAGAAACAGCAGTAAAGATGTGGTATAAATATCTCTGTAGTGGGCTGTTTTTTTCTCTGGGGATATGGCCACAAGTGAAAGGGCTGACTCATATGTTAGTTCTCTCTTTAGTTTTTTTCAGTAATCTCCTAACTAATTCCCACAATAGCTGTATTAATTTACACCCTCCCCTCCATGGACTGTGAATAAGGCTTCCTTTCTCTCCCTCTAAGGCCTCATGTTTATTGTCAGTTTAGTTGATGACACCCATTCTGTCTCAGGCAAGGCAGCATTTCTAAGTAGATTTAATTTGTGTTTCCATGGTGGCCTTTTTGCGATCCTGAGCACTTTTCAATGTTTATTGACCAATAGAGTTTTTGTCTTTGAAAAGTGCCTGTTTAGCCCATTTGTTGATTTGCAATTTTATTTCTTAATTTTTGGTAAATTCTTGCTACTAGCCTTATTAAAAGTTTCACTAGCCTGGCGTTGGTGGCACACACCTTTAATCCCAGCACTCGGGAGGCAGAGGCAGGTGGATCTCTATGAGTTCGAGGCCAGTCTGGTCTACAGAGCGAGTTCCAGGACAGCCTCCAAAACAATACAGAGAAACCCTGTCTCGAAAAACCAAAAAAAAGGTTTCACTGGCATGGATTCTCTTAACTATATCTTGGAGTTCCTTCAATTTTTATATTGTTTGTGAGTGAAGTGAAATACTCTTAAAAACTTCTGAAATTCTCATTTGTCTCTGTTGGTGATGGGGGAAGTCCTTCTGTGTATATGCTGGTCTTATTAGTTGATAAATAAAGCAATGGTGGCAAATAGAGGAGCAAGACAGGTAGAACTAGGAGTCGAGGAGGGTTCTGGGAAGTGTAGTAAAGAGGAGAGAGTCGCCATGTGATCCCGGCAGGAGAAGACACATGAGCCTGGCGATGTCAGTAAGATAAGACCTTATAGAAATATATATATATGTATATATATATATACATATATATATGTATTAGTCATGGGTTAATACTTAAGATAGAACTAGCCAATGAAAAGCCCTGGACATTGGCTAACAGCATTGTAAGTAATGGAGTCTCTGTGTGTTATTTTGGGTTGATGCACCTCTAGGACCAGTCTGGCGGGAAGAATGCTTGTTACAGTTGGCTTTTGCATATTCTTAGGGAACTTTTGAATTTAATCAAATATTGGTGATTCAGTGTTTTCTCTGTTCATACTGGCCCAAATATTGTCATAAAATTAATTCCATAGGCTGCTTACCTTGTATGTCAGGGTTAAAATTGACAGTATATAGTATTGTTATAATCCTTGCTACTGTAGAAAAAACAAAACTCTTCTCTATAAAATCAGTCATATATTCTGCTTTCTAAACCTCCCATTGCACCTAGAGGTTAAACTTCCCAACTAAGTCTTTTATAATAGAGTCATATAAGTCACAAATATAGACAGGATTGATATGTGTCAGTGTTTTAGCATGATCTACAGGTACAGCACTTAAAGCTGACATGCACAATGTGATCCTATGTGACATAAACACCACATTCTTAACGAATAGATAACCTTAAGTTTATTTCTTGTTTCATGTATACTGCTTGTAAGACTGTTGTTTCATCCTGTTTTTACAGAGTTAGATCATCCATGATAGAATGTGAATGTGTTGAGAAATTCTACTTTTGAGTAATTATCTTAGCTCTTCTACATTCTGTCTCCTGCTATCCAGGAAAGCACATCCAAGTAGGTCTTGGTCAAACCATACTTTTTTATTTCAGGGTGTGTTGACATTTAGGGATGTAGCTGTGGACTTCTCCCAGGATGAGTGGGAATGCCTGGACTCTGCTCAGAGAGCTTTGTACATTGATGTGATGTTGGAGAATTACAACAACATGGTCTTTGTGGGTGAGAATATTTTGCTTGTTGAATTCACAACCCATCTTTTGTGTGTTTTAACTTCATAGGTTATAAAATCTATTAAGCTGTCCTGAAAACAAACAGGAGATAGGGCAAATTTAGTAGTTTGGAAGAAATTTTCATGCTATTTAGGTTTCTCCTTCCAATTTGCCTTCCACATTTTATTTTGGTTCCAAGATTCACCCATAGACTCAGTAGCATATAATATTTCCACTCATTCTTAAGGCTCCATGTCCTTTATAGAAGTTTTCATGTTTTTAATTGTGAGAAAAATTCAAGATAACACGGAAAATACTAAATATAATGAGGAATTTGACAACAAATATCAACCCAGAAAACTTGTTTAAATTCTTCTGCTTTATGTTTTCATATACTGAGCCAAGTACTGTGTTAGATTCCTGCATTATTTCTAAAATTTCTAGCATGGGTAATGAGCTGCCTGAAAGAACTGGTGGATTATTGTATGCAAGGTAACCGTGATAACCTGTTTGGAAAGAATGATGTTGCCCTGGAAGAGGAGAGAAGGGAGAAGCCAAAACTAGAGTGGGCTAGTGAATCAGCAAGAGAACAGTGAAGGCTTCAAGTGAAAGAGAAAGCAAGAGCTGAGAATGGGTTTTTTGAAATTCAATTCCACTTGATATGATTCCTGGTCACTTAACTTAGTGTAGTGTCCTGGCCCCAGGATGCATCCTTTCTGTTGTATTAACTGTTAGGAGGCCTTCTGTCTTATTACACCTGTATTGTAGCGCCTTAATACTATAACAAAATGCAGTTTTATTTGAGTATGCTGAAATTGGACTGGAATAATTTTTCATCTATTTAAATCTAACTTGGGTCTTTGAAGTAATGCTATTCTGTAATTGTCTTCCTTGTATGCATATCTTCATATTATATCCTCCAGTTTATTCCCAGTAATGAATACACAGACATCCTCTGGGAAATAATCTCAGGAGTCAGAGTGAATCTGTGAAGAACCCTGTGAGGAAAATTAAGAAACACAGTGGTGTGTGGAACTCTCATCTAACTGACAGAAATAAGCAATGGCTGCTCATGACAGCCCTGCCTCAAACGAGCTAAAGCCTGTGATGTCTGGCAGAATATTGTGTTTGCATGTATTACTAAATATAAATACTGTAAACCTGGGATTGGATTACACTCCTCTTCATCAGTTTCTGAGGAGAAATATTTAAAGATAGAGACATGTATTCTAAATCTAATCCCACAATGAACTCTATCCTACAGCTAGTTCGTGGCCATCAGTTATTTTTTATATCTTTTTCCAGTTAGAGGTTTTTGAGAAAGATGAGATGTCTGTTATAAATCACTGATGTTTGAAGGCTGTCATGCATTTGTGAGAATCCATACAATTACAGCGAATGAAAACTGTCCCTTACTGGGAACTCTAATCTCCGTAGTTCCAGGTTCACTTATGTTAAATGACTACTTAGGGAGGGAGACAGTCATTTATCACATGTTTATTATTGGAACAAACCCTACTAAGCTGAAGTATTCTCATTTTCAGAGAACTATTACATACGTGATCCTGTCCATCACCATGTGAATACTGAAAAGGAGTCTTGTCAGTGTGATGAGCTTGACAAAGTGCTTCATGACCCCTCCACATGTGCACTTCATAGAACAAGTGAAACTACAGAAAACTCTAATAACTACACATGCAGTAGTCATAGGAATGCCTCTGTTGACTCATCAAACCCAGACAGACATGAAAGCATGCACACTAGAGAAGAACCTTGCCAACATAAAGTCTGTGAGAAATCTATAAATTTGTGTTCCAGCATTACTCAAGATCAGAGAGTCTACACTGCAGAGAAAGAGCACAGGCAGGGAGAACATGATGAGTCTTTGAGCTTTGCATACAGGCTTTTGCAACAACCAATCAGCATTGAAGAAAATCCACAGCAATGTGGGAAATGCAAAAAATACTTGAGGACTGCATCCTACCTCAATGATCATGAGAGAATTCATACTGGAATTAAACCCTATCAGTGCAACTTCACCCAGCATTCTAGTTGCAAAATATACCAAAGTCTTCATACTGTGGAAAAATCTTACACATGTATGGAATGTGACAGGTCCTTTACTTGGAACTCACAATTTAGAATACATCAGAGTGTTCACACTGAGGAGAAACCTTACAAATCTAGCAAATGTGACAAGTTCTTTACACAGGACTCCCGTGCTAGAAGACATCAGAGAGTTCATGCTGGAGAGAGACCTTACAAATGTATGGAATGTGACAAATCTTTTACCTGGGATTCAGATCTTAGAAGACATCAGAGAGTTCATACTGGAGAGAGACCTTACAAATGCATAGAATGTGACAAGTCTTTTACCTGGGATTCAGATCTTAGAAGACATCAGAGAGTTCATACTGGAGAGAAACCTTACAAATGCATAGAATGTGACAAGTCTTTTACCTGGATTTCAGATCTTAGAACACATCAGAGAGTTCATACTGGAGAGGGACCTTACAAATGCGTAGAATGTGAAAAGTCCTTTACCGGAGTCTCAGGGCTTACAAAACATCAGAGACTTCATACTGGAGAGAGACCTTACAGTTGCAAGCAATGTGACAAGTCCTTTACCTGGAACGCACAACTTAGAAGACATCAGAGTGATCACACTGAGGAGAAACCTTATAAATGTATTGAATGTGACAAGTCCTTTTCCTGGAACTCCCAACTTAGAAGGCATCGGAGTGTTCACACTGAGGAGAAACCATACAAATGTATTGAATGTGACAAGTCCTTTTACTTGAACTCCCAACTTAGAAGGCATCAGAGTGTTCACACTGAGGAGAAACCATACAAATGTATTGAATGTGACAAGTCCTTTTACTTGAACTCCCAACTTAGAAGGCATCAGAGTGTTCACACTGAGGGGAAACCTTATGAATGTATTGAATGTGCAAAGTCCTTTAACAAGATGTCACAGTTTATAAGACATCAGAGGGTCCATGCTGGAGAGAGAAGTTACAGTTGTCAGGAATGTGACAAATCTTTTAACTGTTCTTCAGGTCTTAGAAGACATCAGAGAGTTCATACTGGAGAGAGACCTTACAGATGCAAGCAATGTGACAAATCTTTTAGCTGTTGTTCAGGTCTTAGAAGACATCAGAGAGTTCATACTGGAGAGAGACCTTACAGTTGTATACAATGTGACAAATCCTTTACCCAGGTCTCACTTCTTAGAACACATCAGAGAGTTCATACAGGAGAGAGACCTTACAAATGCATAGAATGTAACAAAACCTTTACCCAGGACTCACATCTTAGAACACATCAGAGAGTTCATACTGGAGAGAGACCTTACAGTTGTCAGGAATGTGACAAATCCTTTACCTATTGCTCAGATCTTAGAAGGCATCAGAGAGTTCACACTGGACAGAGACCTTACAAATGTACAGAATGTGACAAGTCCTTTACTTGGGATTCAGATCTTAGAACACATCAGAGAGTTCATACTGGGGAAAAACCTTACAAATGTTTGCAATGTGATGAGTCCTTTACCTGGAAAGCACAACTAAGAAGACATCAGAGTTCACACTGAGGAGAAACCTTACACATGTATTGAATGTGACAAGTCCTTTACCAAGATGTCAGATTTTATAATACATTAGAGGGTCCATTCTGGAGAGAGCCCTTGAAGTTGTAAGGAATGTAACAAATCTTTTACTAGAGGTAAACATCTTAGAACATACTAGAATATTCATTCTGTAAAGAAACCTTACAACTGCCAAGACTGACATATCCTATATCCATATTACGAGTCTTAACAGGAGGAGAGAAAAATACTATTGTAAATACTGTGACATGCCATTTTCTGGTATTCTCTGCTTACAAATAATAATATGTATAATACAAACATAAAGATAAGAAACTTGTGAAAACCTTTAGTGAGGTTTAAATCTTAGAAAACATCACAGATTATGCCATATTAAAATTCTCTCAATGTTACTGCAGTAAAGGCTTATATTTTTTTTCTTTTCATATTTTTTATTTAACTTTTTACCCATGTCACTCTCAGTTCCCTCTCCCTCCCCCACCCCCCAGTCCTCCCAATCTCCATCCTCCCTCCGCTCCCCAGGGAGGGCAAGGACCTCCATGAGGGAATTTCAGGGTCTGTCACATCATCCCGTGAAGGGCCCAGGTTCTTCCTCCTGTGTCCAGGCTGAGAGAACATCCCTCCACGTGGTATGGGTTCTCAGAGTCCTTCTGTATGCCAGGAATAAATACTGCTCCACTCTCCCAGGTCCTACAGATTGCAAAAGCCCCTTCTCTATCACCCAGGTTCAGTGGGAGGGATGTGGGTAAGTCCCATGCTGGCCCCTCAGTCATCATTCTGGGACCCGTGAGTTTCCCCTTGTTTAGGTCACCTGCCTCTGTGGGTTTCACTAGCCAGATCTTGATTCCTTTGGTCATCACTCCTTGTTGCAATGGGGTTCCAGGAGTTCAATTTAGTTCACAGCTGTGGTTATCTTCCTCTGCCTACATCAGCCACTGGATGAGAGTTCTAGGATGGCATATAAGGTAGTCATCATTCTCATCATGGAAGGGCAGTTAAGGTAGCCCTAATGCCAGTTGGTGTTATTCTTGTAGATCTGTGAAGATCTCACTAGTGCAAGATCTCTCCTCCAACTTATACTGGCTCCCTTTTTTATGGTATCTCCCATCTTTTTTTTCTCTATTCTTACCCTGGCTCAAACTTCCTGCTCTCCCATGTCCTCCTCTCCCCTCCTCTTTCCTCCCTCTCTTTCTCCCATCTCCTGCCTTCCCCCTCTTCCCCCCAATCCAATTAGGAGATTGCATCCCACAACCCTTCTCCAGGTTACCATGAATATGTCTCTTAGGGTCTTCCCTGCACACCAGACTCTCTGGCAGTGGGATTGTAGGCTAGTAATGCCCTGCTCCATGTCTAAAATCCATATATGAGTGAGTACATACCATGTTCATCTTTTTGTGACTGGGTTACCTCACTCAGGATGATTTCTTCTAGTGCCATCCATTTGCCTGCAAATATTAAGATTCCATTTTTTTTTTCTGCTGAGTAGTACTCTGTTGTGTAAATGTACCACATTTTCTCTATCCACTCTTCAGTTGAGGGGCATCTAGGTTCTTTCCAGGTTCTGGCTACTACAAATAATTCTGCTATGAACATGGTTAAGCAGATGTCCTTGTTGTATGAGGGTATATCTTTTGGGTATATGCCCAAGAGTGGAATTGCTGGATCTTATGGTAGACTGATTTCCATTTTCCTGAGGAATCTCCATATTGATCTCCAAAGTAGCTACACAAGTTTGCATTTCCACCAGCAGTGGAGGAGTGTACTCCTTTCTCCACATCCTCTCCAGCATAAACTATCGTTAGTGTTTTTGATTTTAGCCATTCTGATGGGAGTGAGATGGTATCTTAGAGTTGTTTTGATTTGCATTTCCCTAATGGCTAAAGTGTCTCTTGGCCATTTTGGGCTCCTGTATTGAGAATTCTCTATTTAGTTCTGTACCCCAGTTTTTAATTGGATCCTTTGGTGTTCTGGAGACTTTCTTCTTAAGTTCTTTATAAATTTTGGAGAACAGCCCTCTTTCAGATGTGGGGTTTGTGGATATCTTTTCCCATTCTGTGGGCCATTGTTTTGTCTTGTTGACTGTGCCCTTTGCCCTGCAGAAGCTCCACAGTTTCAGGAGGTCCCATTTATTAATTGTGGATCTCAGTGTCTGTACTACTGGTGTTATGTTCAGGAAATAGTCTCCTGTACCAATTCGTTCAAGGGTATCTCCTATTTTCTCTTCTAAGAGGTCCAGTGTGACTGGATTTATGTTGAGGTCTTTGATCCATTTGGACTTAAGTTTTGTGCATGGTGATAGATACAGATCTATCTGTTGTCTTTTACATGCCAGCATCCAGTTACTCCGGCATCATTTGTTGAAGATGCTTTCTTTTTTCCATTATATAGTTTTAGCTTCTTTGTCAAAGATGTGTTCAAAGGTGTGTGGGTTGATATCAGGGTCTTCGATTTGATTCCATTGGTCTGTTTTTGTGCCAATACCAAGCTGTTTTCAGGACTATAACTCTATAACAGAGTTTGAAGTCAGGGATGGTGATGCCTCCAGAAGTTCCTTTATTGTACAGGGTTGCCTTGGCTATCCTGGATCTTTTGTTTTTCCATATAAAGTTGAGGATTGTCCTTTCGAGGTCAGTGGAAAATTGTGCTGGTATTATGATAGGGATTGCATTGAATCTGTAGATTGATTTTGGTAAGATTGTCGTTTTTACTATGTTGATCCTGCCTATCCAAGAGCATGGGAGATCTTTACATTTTCTGGTGTCTTCTTTAATTTCTTTCTTTAAAGTCTCAAAGTTCTGGCTATACAAGTCTTTCACCTGTTTGGTTAGAGTTACCCCAAGATATTTTATGGCATTTGTGGCTATTGTAAAGGGTGATGTTTCTCTGATTTCTGTCCCATCCCCTTTAGTGCCTATATATAGTAGGGCTACTGGTTTTTTTTTTTTTTTTGAGTTAATTTTGTATCCTGCCACTTTGCTGAAGATGTTTATCAGCTGTAGGAGTTTCTTGGTAGAATTCTTTGGGTCACTTATGTAGACTATCATATCGTCTGCAAATAGTGAAAGTTTGACTTCTTCCTTTCAATTTGTATCCACTTGATATCCTTTTGTTGTCTATTGCTCTAGCTAGAACTTCAAGTACAATATTGAAGAGATATGGAGAGAATGTACAACCTTGTCTTGTTCCTGATTTTAGAGGAATCACCTTTAGTTTCTCTCCATTTGGTTTGTTGCTGGCTGTTGGTTTGCTGTGTATAGTTTTTGTTATGTTTAGGTATGTTCCTGTTATCCCTGATCTCTCCAAGACCTTTATCATGGAGTGTTGGATTTTGTCAAAGGCTTTTTCAGCATCTAGTGAGATGATCATGTGGTTTTTCTTTTTCAGATTGTTTATATGGTGGATTACATTGATGGATTTTCATATGTTGAACCATCCCTGCATCCCTGGGATGAAGCCTACTTGATCATGGTGTATGATTTTTCTAATGTGTTCTTGGATCGGATTTGCCAGTATTTTATTGAGTATTTTTGCATCAATATTCATGAGGGAGATTGGTCTGTAATTCCCTATCTTGGTTGTGTCTTTGTGTGGTTTGACTACTAATGTAATTGTAGCCTAATAAAAAGAATTTGGCAGTGATCCTTCTGCTTCTATTGTGTGAAACAATTTGAAGAGTATTGGTATTAGCTCTTCCTTGAATTTTTGGTAGAATTCACCCTGAAGCCATCTGGTCCTTGACTTTTTTTGGTTTGAAGACTTTTTATGGCTGCTTCTATTTCTTTAGGGGTTATAGATCTGTTTCAACTGTTTATCTCTTCTTGATTTAATTTTGGTAAATGATATCTATCCAGAAAATCATCCATTTCCTTTTGATTTTCCAATTTAGTGGAGTACAGATTGTCAAAGTATGACCTGATGATTCTTTGGATTTCCCCAGTGTCTGTTGGTATGTCCCCTTTTTCATTTCTGATTTTCTTAATTAGCATGTTCTCTCTCTGTCTTTTGGTTAGGTTTGACAAATGTTTGTCTATCTTGTTGATTTTCTCAAAGAACCAACTCTTTGTTTCATTGATTCTTTGTATTGTTTTCTTTGTTTCTACTTTATTGATTTCAGCTCTCAATTTGGTTATTTCCTGGCATCCACTCCTCCTGGGTGAGTTTGCTTCCTTTTGTTCTAGAGCTTTAAGGTGTTCTGTTAATTCTCTAGTGTGGCAATTCTCCAGTTTCTTTATGTGGGCACTTAGTGCTGTGAATTTTCTTGTTAGAACTGCTTTCAAAGTATCCCAAAGGTTTGGGTATATTGTGCATTCGTTTTCATTGAATTCTAGGAAGTTTTTTATTTCCTTCTTTATTTCTTCCTTTACCCAGGGGTGATGCAATTGGGAATCAATTTCCATGTGTTTGTGAGGTTTCTGCAATTTGTGTTGACGTTGAACTCTAAATTTAAGCTGTGGTGGTCCGAAAGGATACAGGGGGTTATTCCAATGTTTTTGTATCTGTTGAGGTTTGCTTTACTGCCAAGTATGTGGCCAATTTTAGAGAAGGTTCCGTGTGGTACTGAGAAGAAGGTATATTCTTTTTTGTTTGGGTGGAATGTTCTAGAGATGTCTGTTAAACCTAATTGGGTGATAACTTCTGTTAGTTCCATTGTTTCTTTGTAAAGTTTCTGTCTGGTGGACCCGTCCAGTGGTGAGAGTGGGATGTTGAAGTCTCCCACTGTAAGTGTGAGGGGTTTAATGTGTGATTTGAGTTGTAGTAATGTTTCTTTTTATGAACGTGTGTGCCTTTATATTTGTGGCATATATGTTCAGAATTGAGACTTCTTCCTGATGGATTTTCCCTATGATGAATATGAAATGACCTTTTTCATTTCTTTTGATTACTTTTAGTTTGAAGTCTATTTTGTTAGATACTAGGATAGCTACACCCGTTTGCTTCTTATGTCCATTTGATTGGAAAGTCTTTTTCCATCCCTTAACCTTGAGGTAGCATCTGTCTTTGAAATTGAGTTGTGTTTCTTGTATGCAGTAGAAGGATGAATTCTGTCTTCATATCCATTCTATTAGCCTGTGTCTTTACAGGTGAGTTAAGACCATTGATATTCATGCGTATTAATGACCATTGATTGTTGATTTTTGTTTGTTTTGGATCCGTTTTTGGTGGTGGTTTTATGTGTGACTTTTTCTCCTATTTCTGATTTCTGGTAAAGTTAGATTATCTATTGCCCATGTTATTTTGAGTGTAGTTAACTTCCTTGGGTCAGAATTTTCCTTCTAGAACTTTCTATAGGGCTGGATTTGTGAATACATATTGCATAAATCTGGTTTTGTCATGGAATATCTTGCTTTCTCCATCTATAGTGATTGAGAGATTTGCTTGGAATTGTAGTCTGGGCTG